GTCTACAAAGCTACACAGAGAAACCCTGTCTCAAAAAATAAACAAAAAAAAGTGCCCAGAAAGTGCCACAGAAGATTCCCCTATACATTCCACTACCTCACATTTTGTCACATGACCGGTGTTACAAGAGATAGAACATGGAAATGCAACCTCCGTTATAGGCAGTCACTATGCCCAACCAAGGACAACATATATATGTGTGTGTGTACCAGGCACTGTACTGGGGGCACTTCCCTTTACTCCAACCCTAGCAGACGTTGCAGTACCCCTAACGCACAGAGGAGTCTTGAAGAGAGGCCACTTGCCAAGGACACAGGATGAGCTGTATGAGAGCTGCAAGAGCCTTCTTCCCCTACACTCCAGGCCTGCCAGGAAGTCAGGAGAGGCTGCACTGGGGCACCACTATAAGGAATCTTTGAATAATTGTTAAATGCTGGGAGCCAAGAAAGATGCAAGCCCAAGTGTCCCCATGGATTTTGCATCAAGGACTCTGCTAGTGGCCTTGGCAAGGGCATCTGGAAGTGATGGGGGTGGAGGCCAGATGCAGACAAGTGTGAACTGGTCTTTCTGGAAGGGTGGCAATGAAGAGGGAGTAGGCTTGTCTGCAGCAAAACATAAGCCAGAGAAGGAGGCAAGAGAAGAAAACACGCAGGGCATAGGGTGAGAAGAGGGAGGCCGCCTTGGCATGCCCTGGCTAGAGGTATCTGGGCTGGTTGGATCCTTTTTTTCTGCCACTCAGGAAGAAAGGGACAGGAGGCATAGGCTTTGGGGGCTGGGAAAGAGTAGGGTGGAAGGTTCTTGGCTGGGGAAGGTGGCAGAAGGCCAAGGTCTGAGAGAACAACTGGCCCATGCTGTCCACTCTGCTAGCCACTGGCTTTATACAGCTATCTTGGTGAATTAAAAGTAAATAAGACCTGGGTATGGTGCCGAATACCTATGATCCTAGCATTTGAAAAGCCGAGAGAAGAGGATCATGAATTTCAGACCAGCTTGACCGCATAGCAAGGCACTGTTTGAAAAACATTAAAAAGTGAAATGGCTCCAGGTGTTTATTGGCTCCCCTTGGCAAGCGGCCACCGCATTGAACAGTACAGATCCATCTGTACAGTATGAGAAATTGTGCCGGACAGACTGGTCTAGACAGAGCAGGGTGGGGGTACTCAGAACCCCTGGCTGGCTGTGAGCCCAGGCTGGAGGGAGCCACCATATGGGGCCTTCTTCCTCTCCAGCCACAAGCTTGCTTCCTTTGTGGAAGTGCCCCCCAAGTCCCACCCTTGGGATAACAAGCCCCTCTCTCAATCCCATTTCCCAAGCTGCTTCCAGGGTGCCCAACTGCCCCACAGCCAGGAGAAGAGCTTGCTCAGGTTTGGGAAGAGTGCTGATGCCCTGTCCTGTGTGGGAGATGGGGCTCAGGGACTGCTGTGAGCTCCCTGACCCAGCTGGGCTCAGGCACCACTCACCAGCCTGCCTACAGGGACCTCAGATGCTCAGCTCAGCTGTGCGCCTCGCAAGTGAGCACACTGAATTTCAGAAGGGTTTGAAAGGAAACCAAAGAAGACAGAAATTTGTCCTCATTTCTTTTTATTGTGCCCCACCCCTTGCCTCCTCAGCCTTCATGTTCCAACCAAGCTGGGACTGGGCCACAGGCAAGGAGCCAGGATTCATCAGGCTTACCCCTCCACCTGAGGTAGTTGGGTAAGGTTCTGTGGCTAGAAGGGCTGGTCTGGCCTGACTGCCTCAGGAAGGAACATCATCCCATGGGGGTGACACTGTATGGAGACCATGTGTCCCTGCCTGGGGGTGTAGGTGTGTTCAGATGGCTGCACTTGCAGTACCCAAGCTGTTCCAACCCACACTGGGGGTAGAGGGTTGTATGTGTGTGAGTAGGGGGTGTGTGTGCACATGGTGGTTTGTGAATTCCTGTGTGGCACAGGAGCACACTACACACTTGCTGGAGGTGTTTGAGACCCTGATCAGTGTCTACACCTGCCAGTTGGTGCTGACCCAAGAGTGACTGGGAGCCTAAAAATCAGAAAGCTCCTGGATGGCAATTCTTATGCCTCATGCACAAAGTAGCCTGTGTTTCTGGTTTAGGAGGAAGGATGTGTGCCAGGCTCTAGTGATGAGCCTCCCAGGGAATCCCTTTGGAACTTCCTCTAATGAAAAACATCATATTCTGTCCAGCCTGGCAGCCATAGGCTACATGTGTCCACTTAGCTAGTTCAAATGAGGCATATTTTTATTAATTTAAGTTCAAATGGTCACATCTGGCTAGTGGCTTCCATGTGGAAGAGCACAAATCTTGGCTGGTGGGGCCCCGGGATGGACAGTGAGAGCCTGCGCCATAAACACAAAGCTATGGTATAGGTGTGTGAGGAGCCCAACCATATGGACCCGGAGTGGCTGAAACTGGAGGGGGCCTCCCTCAGGAGGGGAAGTGTGGAACTGGACCCAGGGCTCTGAATTGCAGTGTCTTGGCTGTCTCCATTCTGAATTGGGGTGCAACTTGGTATCTGCCTAGTGGGAAAGCCCCTGGGAATGGCCTCTGCCCTGGCTCACAGCCACCAGCCCTTGCCGGAAGCCCCACACACTGAATCAAGTCCAGAGCCCAAGGCTGAGGTCAGGAGGTCCTCATGTTCTCCTGCAGGCCCAGAGTGGAGTTGGTGGCCGCCGGGTCATGTTCACCCTGTGTATGCAATGTGGGAATGCAAGTTAGGCCCCAGAAGCACTGCCCCGCAGGACAGAGCCTGTCAATGCAGACACACAAGCTTAAGGTCTTTCAAGAGTCCTGCTCAAGAAGTTCACAAGTCCTCTTACCTCCCCGGGCCCCATGTCCTCTGCATACTTGAACTTCTTCTGCTTCAAGTCCTGCCTCTTGGGCAGGATGTGGAGCAATAAGAGGTCACAAAGAACTGTGGCCTGAGGACAGGGAGGGCAGGCATGGAGAATGGGAAGCAGAGGCAGATAGAGACCTTCCATGTCCCACAGTGGTCCCTATTGACTGTGGTCCTGGCTGAATCCTGCCTCTCCAGAACCCAGTTTCCTGAAGACAGAATAAGGTGCTGCAAACCCCTCCTGGGACCAAATCAGCCTCATCTTTCCTCTCTCTTACCTTAACTCGGAGCCTCAGTTTCCCCAGGTACACAGTGGGTCTAGTGTGGTGGGAAAAGCAGCTGCTGCCTCAGTAGTGATAGGCAGCTATGGTCACATTTTGGGGTTCTGCTACTGAATGCAGAAGAGGAGCAGCTAAAACCCAACACAACAAACATGTCCCTAGCACTTACCACTCCAAAGATGCCAATCCCAGAGCCGATGGTAGTCATAGTAGGGATGATGTCAAACTTCCCAGCCTGGTGGAAGGGCCCAGAGAAGAGCCAGGTCAACAGAAGGGACCCAGCTAGAAAAAGTCAAACCCTCCTCCTCAGCTCCAAACTATCCCCACTGCCTGTGGCCCAGTTCTTCTGAGAGCCAGTTCCTGGTCAGTAAACCTGGGCTTTGTGCCTGGCCTTGCTTCCCTGGACCCAAGGAGATGGTAGGGGAGTCATGACAGTGGCTCTAAGTCTGGCCAGAGTCATCCTCCATGTCCCGTGGTCACTAGAAGCAGATCTCTGAATACACCTATCCCATCCCATTTCATATCCATAACAACAGACATCCGAAACAGAAAGGTGCCTTGGCAGCTGTCCCTTCACATGGGACACTTACCTTACCATCCACAAGGATGTCAAAGCGAATCCCAAACACCTTGAAGAGGTTAAAATGGTTTGTCCCATTCTGCACAAAGTGCCTGGCAAACCTGGGGTGGGGGGAAGGGGGCAGGAGACTGTAACAAAACCACCTTGAGTGCCAAATGTATTAGGAAGAGCCCCTCCAGCATGGCTTCCAGGATTGTTGAACTCAGCCCTTTCCTGACTCTCTCACCAGGCAGACCCAGGAGCCAAGGAGCCAAGACCCAGGGCTGGTGACTCAAACCTTTAAGGGTTTGTTTCCTGATGGCTTCCTGCTTGACAACTTATATAGGATGGAGGCAACCCAGGGTCCTCTGGTCCCTTCTGGGAACATTTGTCAACCTGTGGCATTCCAGAAATAGGCAGGTACCTGAAGTTGAAGCCTGGAGACAGATTTTTCTCCCCGTACAGTCCATGGAACTGGTAGATTGGTTTGCAGTGCCGCACATGCCAATCCAGGTCACACTCCCAGTCAATGGTGATGCCAACTACCCCACCCTGCCAGAGACACAAGCACATAGGATCCGGGCTTCAGGATTTTAAAACTCCTGTCTAGACTGGCAAGATGGCTTCATGAGTTTAAAAGAGAAGAGAGAGAAAAAAAAACAAAACAAAAAAAACACCAAAACTGTCTTATAGCTGGTGCCTACACTCTCTTTGAAAAATTGTTTTATATTATCTATTAATTCTGTGTATAGATATTTACACCATTGTGTACAGTGTGACTGGAGGTCAGAGGACAACTTTTGAGGGTGGGCTTTCTCCTATCATGTAAGGCCAGGGATTAAATTCAAATCATTAGGCATTCCACCAAGCACCTGCACCCACTCAGCCACCTTGTTGCACCACTTCAAAGAGAAGATACTTTTTATTAGAGAAGGGACACTGAGATCTTGCTTTAGGGGTGAAGGTCTGTCACCATCTCTTCTCCCACCACTGAGTGATCATCTCTAGAATATAATAAGTTTTTCCTGCCACAGGGCCTTGGTTCCTGCTGTTCTTTCACAAACCTGGCTCTTTCTCATTATATGGTCATTTGTCTGAGGGCTCCCCTGACCACCAACTCAGTCTAAAATATGTCCCTTGTTACTCCCTCCTATGATGCTATGTGTTTGCTTTTAGGCCATTTGTCACTTTTTGTTTTTATTTGGTTGGTGTTATTTTTAAATTTATGAGCACATATCTGTGTGAACATCTGCCATGTATGTGTGGGTGCTCTCAGAGCCCAGAAGAGGTCATTGGGTTTCCTGGAACTGGAGTTACAGGTCATTGTGAACCACCCAATGTGGATGCTGGGAATCTAAAGTTGGGTCGTCTGGGAGGACAGCAAGTGCTTTTAACCACTGAGTCGTCTCTCCAGTTCCTAGTTTTTTTGAGACTGGATATTACTGTATAGCCTAGGCTGGCCTTGAACTCTTGATCATCCTGCCTCTGCCTCCTGTGTTCTGGGATCACAGGTGTGTGCTAGCACACCTGGCTTGTCATATGTGTATTCTTATGACCGATTACTTATTGACCTCTCTCCTCTAAGATTGTCAGGTCCAAGGGGACAGAATCATCTGGCACTCATCGCTGTTTCTCAGTTCCTGGCTGAAGTCACAGTGGTTTGGGAGACAAGCAAAAGGCCTTTGAACTAAGTGATCTGTTCCGTCTGGGAAGAAAACACTCCAGAAAGTGAAGTGAGGCAGGGAACAGGACAGGTGGGTGGCTCTGGCCAAGAGTGGAAAGGCAATCAGAGAAGTGGTCAGGGAGCTGAGCAGCTCAGTATGGAGGCAGGAACAGAGATCCCCACACTCAGTGGGCAAGGGTAGGTGTGGGTGCTAGAAACAGGGTGAATTGTAAATCATGACAACCCTATAGGATCAGACAAACAGAGACCTAAACACCAACAGTTAACCACTGTCTGTCTGCTTCCACCTCGATGTAGCTCTTGAATGCAAATACCTGCAAACTTCTGCTATATACAAGTGTGTCATGAGTGAAGCTTGTTGGTGACCTCACAGAAAAGGGACTGGTTGCCATCTCTGCATAGACAGCTGCAGGAACAAGCACAAGAAGGACCCCCCTAGAACAGGATGTAGGATTGCCCCATTCTGGGGCAGAGCTGAAGTGCTAACTTGCAGGTGCATGTTCACTTGGTCCTCACAGCACCACCATGGGAATGGTGCTATGAGCATCTTCAGTGACATTCTCAGATCCACTGCACTTAAGAGAACTGTCTGGTTGGGAGGCAGACCAGGATTTGGATCTGGAGCCTCTCACAAAGGGACTGTGGTCTTGGAACATGCGAAGCCCTGAGTTCTATCTCCACAATGGTATAAAACAAAGTAGCCCAGTGATTTTAGACTATGGTACAGCTTGGGGTTAGGGTATACTACTCAGCATGTGTGAGGCCCATCCTCAGCAGAAAAAAAATAATTAAAAAATAAACTGAGTGTGGTGACCACACACCTAATCTCTGCATTAAGGAGGCTGATGCAGGGGGATTAGGAGTTTGGGGCCAGCCTAGGCTACACAGGGAGACCCTGACTCAAAACAACAAAAAGGAAAAGGGGAGAGAAGAAGGGAGGG